TACGAATGGAGGCGTGACAGTGGAGCAAAGGTCTGGCTAAGCTAACATCAGTAAGCTTGTGTGGGCTTACATGCAGCAACATGCTGGCGAGAACATTTCATCTCCATGGAAATGAGCATGAATTTTTAAAATTACATCTTTTAAGCTTTGTGGGCTGATAATTTCCATATTTTTTGATTGTAGGTCCTTCTGGGGAGTTTACACAATGCAGGGCTATAATGACAGGAAGGAAGATCCTCGGGGAGATATTTCATGATTACTTAAACAGAAAAAAATCAGGCTGACAGAGGCTGTGCATCATCCCCTCATCAAGTTCAGCTTTTGGGTTATTCTGTATTGATTCGCAAAGCACACAAAAATGAGGCCCTCTCCATCTCCCAAAAGAGCTGAGGTGGCTAGATCCTTTCAGACTGATGTAATCTACTCCCAGTATAGTGCTCGGCCACAAGCCTGACCTGTTAAGAATGAGGTCAGGGTTCAAGGGCAGAGGCACCAAAAGAGGTTATCTGCCGACTTTGATCGTAAAGTTAAATTAAAGCTGATATGTGAACAGAGTTTGATAGAGAGCTACTGTTTCACTTTGAGTTGATTGACTCACAGTCAAATAGAAAGTACCATGATCAGCACAGGACAAAGTATGACAAGACTTCAGATAGGGAGCAAAGTGTATCTGAAGCATTCAAATGTTATCTCAACATGTTAAAGGCCAGTTTGCTCTGTGACCTTTATTGATTTATCTGCTACAAATTTGCTGCCATTTCAGGATGTCACTGCTGAACCCTTTTAATTCAATCCTCCTCATCCCCTCCCTCCATCGTGCTCTCTTCTTGTGGCAGCATGTTGAGCCTCCAAAAGTTAAAGGTGAAGTTCACCTCAAAATTAACAGTACGTCATATTTTCTCTTATCTGAAGTGCTGTTTATCAGTCTAAACTGTTTTGGTGTGAGTTGCTGAGTATGACCACCAGGGCCGGTGCTCTCAGGCTGTAAAACCCTGTCACTCTGACTGAGACGCTCTCTTTCCTCAACACATTTTTACTTTCACACTTCCAACACCTCACCCTACATGCAGCACTCATGCAGACACACACCTTCACCACTGATTCTACTGATGAACACACCTCATCACCTCTTTAGTTTGTTTTTGTGGTCCCTGCTTTTAACGTGCATTTTCTGTGTAAACCCTAATCCTTTTATCATGACACTGAGTGTTGGCGATATCAGCCAAAGAGATGTCTGCCTCCTCACAAATATAATGGAACTAGATGGCACTCGGCTTGTGGTGCTCAAAGCACCAAAAAAATACATTTTAAAAACTCAACAACAGCAGTGTCTCTTTCCAGAAATCATGAACTGGTTATTCAAGATAATCCACAGACCTTGTTGTGAGTAGTTTCATGTAGGAACTATTTTCTTTCTACCGAGCAACACCCACCAACCACATCAACGCGGAGAAGGAAGTGTGCATCTACTGCTAGCTCACCTAGCACCACTGAGCTAGCCAATGTTACAGTTCAGCTAAGTAGGATGCTTATAATGTTTACATCTGTCATGTGCACAAGCCTCTTGTCCATGAATAGATGCACACACTTTCCACTCTGTGATACGGTTGGTTGGTGTAGTTTGGTAGAGAGAAAATAGTTCCTACATGAAACTGCTCAGAACATGGCCTGTGGATTATCTTGAGTAACTAGGTCATGATTTCTTGAAAGATACATCGCTGTTGATTTTTTAAATTTTGTTTTTTCAGCGCTGTGAGCACAAAAAAATGAGCATAGTTCCATTATTTTCTAGAGAAGACCGATATCTCTAACACTCTGCAACTCACACCAAAACAAGCTAGACTGATAAACAGCAATATAGGAAAGAGGAAAAATATGTATTTTTGATTTTGGGGTGAACTGTACCTTTAAATTAACCTTGACTACCTCGTCAGTCACAGTTCTGTGGCAGGTAATAACTTCAAAAGCCAGAAGTATACTTTCAAGTACTGCCTTATTTGCCTAAAGCACCACATGCGAAGCTTAAATTGTTTTGTAAGTGGCCAGTCTTCTCTAGTAAAATGAAGCCTGGGGCTACTTGCGGACTTTTGCAAGATGTACACCTGAAGTGACAACTGTGCAAGTCAAAGCGTGTCTAGCCTCAGGAATCACACAAATACATACATACAGTACAGGCCAAAAGTTTGGACACACCTTCTCATTCAATGCGTTTTCTTTATTTTCATGACTATTTACATTGTAGATTCTCACTGAAGGCATCAAAACTATGAATGAACACATGTGGAGTTATGTACTTAACAAAAAAAGGTGAAATAACTGAAAACATGTTTTATATTCTAGTTTCTTCAAAATAGCCACCCTTTGCTCTGATTACTGCTTTGCACACTCTTGGCATTCTCTCCATGAGCTTCAAGAGGTAGTCACCTGAAATGGTTTCCACTTCACAGGTGTGCCTTATCAGGGTTAATTAGTGGAATTTCTTGCTTTATCAATGGGGTTGGGACCATCAGTTGTGTTGTGCAGAAGTCAGGTTAATACACAGCCGACAGCCCTATTGGACAACTGTTAAAATTCATATTATGGCAAGAACCAATCAGCTAACTAAAGAAAAACGAGTGGCCATCATTACTTTAAGAAATGAAGGTCAGTCAGTCCGGAAAATTGCAAAAACTTTAAATGTGTCCCCAAGTGGAGCCGCAAAAACCATCAAGCGCTACAATGAAACTGGCACACATGAGGACCGACCCAGGAAAGGAAGACCAAGAGTCACCTCTGCTTCTGAGGATAAGTTCATCCGAGTCACCTGCCTCAGAAATCGCAAGTTAACAGCAGCTCAGATCAGAGACCGGATGGATGCCACACAGAGTTCTAGCAGCAGACCCATCTCTAGAACAACTGTTAAGAGGAGACTGCGCCAATCAGGCCTTCATGGTCAAATAGCTGCTAGGAAACCACTGCTAAGGAGAGGCAACAAGCAGAAGAGATTTGTTTGGGCTAAGAAACACAAGGAATGGACATTAGACCAGTGGAAATCTGTGCTTTGGTCTGATGAGTCCAAATTTGAGATCTTTGGTTCCAACCGCCGTGTCTTTGTGAGACGCAGAAAAGGTGAACGGATGGATTCCACATGCCTGGTTCCCACTGTGAAGCATGGAGGAGGAGGTGTGATGGTGTGGGGGTGTTTTGCTGGTGACACTGTTGGGGATTTATTCAAAATTGAAGGCACACTGAACCAGCATGGCTACCACAGCATCCTGCAGCGACATGCCATCCCATCCGGTTTGCGTTTAGTTGGACCATCATTTATTTTTCAACAGGACAATGACCCCAAACACACCTCCAGGCTGTGTAAGGGCTATTTGACCAAGAAGGAGAGTGATGGAGTGCTGCGGCAGATGACCTGGCCTCCACAGTCACCGGACCTGAACCCAATCAAGATGGTTTGGGGTGAGCTGGACCGCAGAGTGAAGGCAAAGGGGCCAACAAGTGCTAAACACCTCTGGGAACTCCTTCAAGACTGTTGGAAAACCATTTCAGGTGACTACCTCTTGAAGCTCATCGAGAGAATGCCAAGAGTGTGCAAAGCAGTAATCAGAGCAAAGGGTGGCTATTTTGAAGAAACTAGAATATAAAACATGTTTTCAGTTATTTCACCTTTTTTTGTTAAGTACATAACTCCACATGTGTTCATTCATAGTTTTGATGCCTTCAGTGAGAATCTACAATGTAAACAGTCATGAAAATAAAGAAAACGCATTGAATGAGAAGGTGTGTCCAAACTTTTGGCCTGTACTGTATATTCTTTTTGCACATCTGAAATTGGCAGTGAAATCATAAACTATGATGACTGAGGGAAAAACCTGGAGTAAAATGAATGAAACACTTTTGACTAGTTCCTCAATGAACACATGTACCGAATAATCAAAACACACAGCAGGTGCCAAGAAATCATATTAAACTGCTGGTCACACAGATGTCCACTGTACCTTGTGTTCATGAACAGTCAGCTCCTATGGCCAACATTTACTCCACTGCCTTTACAGTTATTTCATAGCACCTAAAAACTGCAGCTTCACACTCATGTCACACTGTTGCTCGCTGTGTTGGAAGACCGTGTGATTGAAAGTGAAGTTGTTACATGACGTAGAGAGCTCAGGGAGCCTGTTTCAGTTCCGCTCTCACTGCCACGGGAATACCTTCCTTGTATCTGGAGCTCGGCGTAACAGCAAAAATAGGACAAACTCTGCTGTTTAGTGAAGTGCGGCCTCACTTTCATTTTTCTCTTTCCAGCATTGGTCATGCTCAATCTACTGTGATGCACTGCAGTTACAGAGAAGCTGCTTCCGTGGTTTCCTATAACAGAAGGATCCTAATAAAATCCTGATCGATTACTGAAGCTTCGTCTACCCACTGAGAAAAACTCTACATGCAACAAATCAACGTGGTTATAAAGTGATAAGAGGAAATCACAGTTACTGAAAGTAGAAATAAAACAAAATGGAGGAGAGAGGAAGAGACAGTTTTAAGGTTTGAAAACAATGATGACATATGTATGGGTGCAACAGAAGTGTGGTGGAGCGCAATAGTTTGTCAAGCTATGTGAAGGCATTAAATACCAAAGATTACAAATGCTACCTGAACAAACTGACTTTGACAAATGGTGACTTCCAGATCCGTGTGCCATTATCAAATTTATAAAAGACATTAGCAAGTTGCCTGATATTCAGTGGACAGATATCTATATGCACATGTATACCTTGCATGCACAACAGCGAGAAATTAAAATTTAGTTTGTGTCCTTAGTCCAGCAGCCATCAAACTATTGAATAGATGATAGGTATTTAATAGATGATAAATAAACAAATGAGTATCTAAAACTGATTAAAGTAAAACTGAAGGCTTTTACATGGTCACATACATGTTGTTTGTGTTTTGACATGGAGCAGAAGGCGTCAATAAAACTGCAAATCCGAGATGAGACGGTGAGGTAGTGTACTTACTGCCACAGCTATCATGGAGTCGTCTGGTTTCCATTCTGCCTTCTGGTAGAAGCCAAACTGGGCAGCCGCCTTTGCAGACTCGATATAGCTGACTATCAAAACACTGGGCTGTGGGTGGAGAACAGGGATATGGAAAAGAAAATGAGCACTTTAAACATACCACAAGTCACATACATCTGACTGCTCCATACATATAATAACAAAAACAACATCCACATCAGAATGTATACTGTTACTGCCAAAAATGCCTGTAGACTGATATGAAAGTCTGGCCCTTTCATCCACACATAACAAACAAAGTTAATAAGGTTTGAATCTAATCTAGGTCTGAATGTAAGTGTGATTTATGGCAAGTGGTTAATACATTTCTTGAGGCTCTTACTTAAACTGTGATTTAAATTAAAACCAAAATACAACTAAAATCAATGTCCTAATGAGACATTGGAGTTCCATGTCCTAATGAGACTGCTGGAGCAATCTGAAAAGTAACCTTAAAGAAAGCAGCACTGGCTGGCGGTGGTATCTGTGTTTACCAACTAGTGTGCTCTAAGGGGACTCGTTACCACTCATCTCATTGCCTCAAACATTGGTTCTTTGGCAAAGGGAGCAACACAGATAAAAGTCTCCCCTGAAAGAACACCATGACTGCGATACCTGCTAAATTGCTATTTCACCTTGTGAGGCACATCTATTCTGAAAAATATCTTTCAGCCCAGCAATCAAAAACATGTTCAGGCCAGGCTACTGTTTACACCATGCAACCCTGATAGAAACATGAGCCCGCATACACAGACAGACTTTGCCTGAAGCAGTTGCCCTTAAGTTGCCTCTACCCCTGAATCACTACATCAGATATTTGCCTTGATAACAATCATCGCTACCAGTTCGTTCCAATCCCCTAATATAAAGCCACAGTGTATTCATCTGCAGTCAAATGAGAATCAATGAGTGACTTATGATTTATAAATGTGTAACTGCAACCAACGGCTGTCAACAGGTGTCTCTGAAGAGGAGCACTGGCCTCAACACCTGGCAAAGCCTTATTCATGAGTCGTTGGCATTATTCAACAACCAGTGGAAACCCCCTGCAGATAATCCATGGTTCATTTGTGTTATAGACCTTTATAATTTTACTTAATCCAATTTTTAATATCACACATTACTACTGGAGATGAATTAATACTGATTGAGTTTTCAGACATGTAACAGTCTTTGACATTACAGGTAAACCAGGACAGAACACTGAATGATCAGGTAACAAAAGCAGGGGACGATCTCATGTAATTCCAGCTATGCAACATTAGACCTCGTACCCAGTCGCCGTAATGAGAGAGCGGGTTTTAAGTATGTCGACGCGATAGTGTGCCTTTCGTGGCATGAAATCTTAATAATGCCAATGATACCTGCACTGGTGAAGCTTGCTGCGTGGGAAACAGAAGGAGAACCCTCTCTCCTCATTAGTAATTGCAATGATATCAGATTATAATCTGAACAATGTCATTATGTGTTTGGTAAATTAAAGGAAAGATCACCTTTAAGGTAGCCTTGTTTTGCCTCTGTATGCCAGTACACTGAATTTGAAATTAAACAAGGTGAATGAGGTTCAAATTATGATTTTTACCATTAATTTAACATCGGATAAACTGTCGAAATGTTCCTAACACATACACAAAGTATCTGCTAAAATGATGTGTTTCCTTTATCGATTGATGTGATAACAGTTTATAAAGATTTTTAAATATTTACACAAAAAGTTCCTCAGGTCCAAAAATGAACTCAGACATACTGTATATGTTTGCTTATAGATGATATATTACAAACCCGTTCAACTCCTTCTCTGCAGCTGCACAAATAGTTAGCCTAGCTATACCAAAGTTTGTCTGAGATTCTACGGTCATTGCCCTCTACCTGAAAACCACTCACATTCACTCCACTGAGTCAGCCCTTCCTCCACTATGTTAATTTATCATTTCTACAGTCATTAAATTCAAACCAACACTTGTTGACAGTATTTTAGGATCAGTCTCTGGAACACAAATACATCAAACTTGATCTGCATTAAAGGTATAAATAAGATTGAGGGAAAAAACTCTTATCATCCATCAATAACATTGGCGTTGGCAGGTGTGTTGCCCCCTAACACACCTGCCCACAAAAAAAAAAAAAACACCGAAGGACCTGAGTTTGCATGCCAACATTCCAAATAAACAACCAGCCTGCATAAATTCAACTGAGCTAAAACTGAAATGGTTTGTCTGGTAGTCGTGGCTCAAACTCATGTGTTTCTCCCGCATTGCCATTTCCCATGTTCCACCACAATTACATGCAGTCAGCTGGTGTAACTGAAGAAATCCCAGGGGAGTGTAAATAATTACACACGCAATTACAGTACGTGCAACCAAACATGCACACACACACACACACACACACACACACACACACACACTGTTGCTAATTTTCGCAGGCACCCAGCGCCAACTACAGTGCTACTACAGCATAACAGCGCCACCACACCATCAAACTCCATCTCTCTCTATTCCTAGATATCTTGAGCTCCCATGCAGCCGTGGCAGGGCGACAGGGCGACAGAACAGAACGACTACAAGGCTAAGATACCGGCTACACGGATTAAATGACAGCGCCTCGACTGAACTACTCGGGCTCAGGCTGCACTGGCCGAGGTCGAGGATAGATGGGATTAAGGAGGATAGACCTGGTGGCAAAACGATGGCTGAGAACAACAGGGGCGAGAGAGCTGGGAGGGGAAACGGCAGATTTATAATCACTTTGATTCACTAAATAACCTGAGCAAAAAGCTAAAGAAAATATATTACTTGAGAAAACTGTGTGAACAAAACCCTCCACTGCATCCCTGTGTGCAGACTTGGGCTACATAATGCATTGAGATGAAATGATGGATAGAGCAGATGTGAAGGGTGCATGTCACGAGGAAGAAGTTGCTCCGATCAACATTCCTGACATGATTCTCTTCCTGGACGCCTCATTGATACTCACAGGCAGGCAAAGGTCTTAAGAAAGAGGGGAAGGAAAACATGGTCACATCCTGTGTGGGCCTCAGGAAATAAACAGTGACCCTGATCCATTGTTGCTACACCTCAATAATATACAAAGCTGTGTGGAAAACAGACCGCTTTAAACAATGTGCTCAACTGCATGTTATCCAATCAAATAGCCCCTCTCCATATCAGCCTGGCAGAATCTGATGAATTCAAGCTAATGAGGACGGGAGTGCACAGGGCTATGAATGGTATTCCGCAGGTCTTTTCTACATCAGATGCTGGTGCTGAAAATATTTCAGGAGCCATTCTGCACTACACAAAATTTTTAACTTGATTATTTCTCCGTACTGAAGTTCCCTGTTAATGAATGGCATGACAGCCACACCGAGACCATAGGTCATTCTTTCTCGCGAAGCTAAAATATCTAATGAGCAAATTAATAAATATAGACAGTGGTGAAAATAGAATCAGTGGTAGCCGCCACAGTCTCGCACATCGCCTCACTGCCTGTCAGCCGACACCTTCTATCCAAATACTGACTACAAATAATCAAAACTATTTTCTGTACTGAATTGTTCCACTGCTCTTTTTCACATTTCTAGTCAGTAAATGCTACTTTTTAAAGTTTGAGTCAACTTGTTGATGATTTGTTCCATTGTTATAGAAACAGTTGTTCCCTCCTACAGGAGAAAAGAAAGAGGAAAGATAACCAGTAAAGCATTCATCTCTTTGACAGTCCACCAGGGTTGGAAATTAGCACCAGCCACCAGCCAAATGCTGGTAAAATATGCAAGTGTCTGCTAGATTTGCTTTACCCACAAGCCTGAAAAATGATAATCTATTGATTAGCTGATAGATTTTGGAATTCATCTGCCACAGTGGCAGGGGGGCAAAAAAGTTCATTTCCAACCCTGCAGTCCACTGGCTTACAGTGCTGCTGATCATTTCCTATACATCACAAGTCCCCTGGCTTGCAAAGTCACTTACTCATCACTGCATTCTTTATGACTTGGTGAGTTGGACATCACTGACCACTCGCAGACAACAGCACTGGTATATTTTTTTTATCTATAAAGCGATATATAAAGCAATTGGGCAAACTTCCCGCCTACCTCTGCACCTTTCTGTGTGTCTCAGCTATAGCAGTTACCAGCTACTCATCTCTAAGTGGTTTCTTTTTAATATATGCTGGGTTTTAACAGATATTGGGAAAACTGCATTCTCTTACTATGCACCTTGGACATGGAGCAATCTTCAAAAAATGTAAATTAGAAACACTTTATTGAATTTAAAGGCATCATAAAGAATGTGATGATAGAGACCTGTGCTTGTTTTTCTTGAGAGGTCACTATATGTGAATAGTGAATAATTTCATTGTGGATTTTTGTATCATATGTTGTATTTGTTGCATTTTAAATGTGTTTTGACTGGCTGCTACCTTGGCCAGGACTCTCTTGTAAAAGATATTTTCAGTCTCAGTGAAACTTCCTGGTTAAATAAATCGGCAAGCAACATCCAGAGCCATACTGGAATCAATTTAGCCGCAGTTTTGGATGTGACAGTGCTTTAAAGGATTCAAGCTTTAGTTACAGAACCAGTTTCAGCACAATGCTCTCTTATGGGAAGTCATATCAGTTAAATTCATGACTTACATCCCTCTGGTAAAGGCCTTGGGTCAAGAGTACCTATAAAAAGTGATCCTATTGATAAAAAGACCGTCATAATAAACAGAAAAATAGTGTAAGTCCAAACTGGCCTTCAGATGGAGCACATTTTGAGATAATATGATGCATCAGTAGACAGGACGTTGTTAAAGAGCGACTTTGTTTTCAGTCAGTGTGATATTTTCTTCTGTATTATACTGCTGTGGGGGGAAATAAAGGGATCACATAACATGCTGACACAATTGTTTACATAATCATTTAACTCTGGCAGCCTAAATGATCTTGACTACGTGTTGAGCTGCTGCCTGACTTGAACAAACCACAACATGCGGTCAGTGATTATTTGTTTTGAACACTATTAAACACTGCAGCGAAAGATAACTTAAACTTTGAACTTGAGGCAGGCTGATTAAAATTGAAAAAAATCACCAGTAGCACAGACTGCACCTAAGACACTCCACCAGTTTACACGTGGTCAGTGAGTTTTAGTTATGAACACTATTGGAAATCCTCCCCTGATAGTCACTTAAACTTTGGACTTGAGAGGCATTTTGAGGCAGGGTGATAAAAATAGAAAATGTCACCACAAGTACTGAACGTACGAGAATCTCAACCAGTGCACACTATTTACTCTCTGCCTGACAAAGCATTCATCAGGTGAGATTCAGATCCTGCGGCTGAGAGGATGAAAAGCTGTTGTCATGAATGAGGGAGTAAATGGGAGGAACGCCGCACGTGAAATACCATTCAGATACAAGCATGCCTGTGTGAGAGCACACGTATACGGATGTACAAACTGTTTTGGTGCGTAACAATGTCACCTGTCATCTATGTAATAGGTGTGTAGGTGGCACCGATTGCCAACTCATATCTCCAGATCGCCCATCATCATTAACACCACTGCTGCTCTGTGTTTAATATCTGTCTTTTTAATAAACATGAAGGGCAGACAGCCAGATTGCCACGCAGTTATGCAACGCGTTTGAAACTAAAATGATGGCGGATAAAGCTGGAGAAGCAAGTCCAATCGTGTAAGTTATACTGTGTGAAACATACTGATGATAGCTCGGATCAAAGTAGCACTGCGCGCATTGTTTTTATCGGGACAGCTGAGCTCGTGAGCATGACTGAAGCCAAGCTGCGGCTGGTTTGACTGCACTTACCCGACTGAACCAGATGCTGAGCTGAGTCTCTGACAGCACGGCGAAGTAAAACCTCTGGGAGCTGGGCTGGATGTGGAAGGGCTCCTCTTCACTCCTCAGCGGACAAAGCAGCCTCCGGGGCCAGCCGGTTAGAAAATACATGACGGCAAACTCACTCCGCCTGGACACTCCAAACAGTGTCGCAATGTCGGTGCCCCTTATTCCTCCTCGAGTGTTTTTAATCCAAGCGAGCCATGGGCGCTGTTCCCGTACGAATTAAAACTTTACATAGGTACATACATGCTGTGTGTTCACACTGCTCGGGCTATCAATCCATGAATGCCGTACACAGAGCTCCCAGCAGCCGATGGAGCTACACAGCTAGCCCGGGCTAGCATTCGCTTTCCAACTTGAAGCTAACGAGCTATCCAAGGCATCGAAAGTCTAACCGAAAACAAAAGCGGACAGGACCGCAGCGACGTCACGCAGGACCAAACAGGAAGCTGCTGCTGACTAATAGGTCGATTATCTTTCGCTCCCGCTGCCCTGTCAGTTTTTACGGTGTCTGGTCCAGTGGCGTTTAATAACGGTACAGTGTCCAGTTTTCACTCCTCTGTGCCTCACCGTCGCCATCTTTACCAGAGTCTGTGTGGCTCTACGCTGATTGGCCACGACGGAGACGTCTGCGTGGTGTTGACATGTGACGTCAGCACTCCGTTATGTGAAACCACGGTTCAAACACGGTGGCGTTATTGGCAACGTGGCACGATGCTGACATCTAGTGGTGAAACCATGCAAGGAAAAGACACGTCTACCATTATATTACATTATACTGTACTACTGGTAGACTTGTCAATCTATCACCGTTATAAACAAGTTAATAATAATGTAAAACTGAGGACATGAGGATTATAAAGAGTACCGCTTTCCAATTAGAAATACAACTACTGTAATGTATAATGAATAAAGTTCTTCATTATGCAATTCTTACATTAGGGACTGCTATCTATTCATCTTCATTTGTATCAAACCTAATTCGTCATCATCAGAGATGTGCCTGGGGTGTGCCTTCGTTTTTGTTTTTTGTTTTTTTTGTTTTTTTATTTATCCTCCCTGAAGCTACAGATATTTTTATTTTATTTTTTATTCTTAAGTGACAGGCGGAAAATGCACGAGCTTCCCTCCACCATAAATTAGTTATTAGATTTTTATGACTTACCCTTTGATGTTTGAAAGTTAGGAGTTAAAAGGTGAAGACAAAATCTTGGAGTAAAACAAAACAAACAAACATTTTCACAACAGTTTATTTTTGGCCAAATTTTGAATAAGATGAAGAATAAAGTGATTCTGATGAAATATCAATATTTTAAGCTCAGACTTGTTTTTATTTCTGACAGAAGCCTTTGTTGCACATGATGTGTCGAAGGACTGTCGGAAATTTGAAAGCTTCACCTTCAACTTTGTTTTTTTTTTAAATTCATTTTTTTTCTATTCTAAATTAAGTAAAAAAAATTAAAGTTATTTAAATTTAATTCTGATCATATTCATCTTTGTATTGTCATCACAGACAACAGAAAATTATGAAGGAGGCGTTTGTTGTTCATGCAATAAGGCGCCGTGTAGACGAGAAAGGGTGTGTCGAAGGCAGTGTTAATCAGGATCCTACTTAATCAGGGGAGCCTCATGATTGAGTAGGACATACAGGAAGCTGGTGGGTGAGTTTTCTTTCCTAAATGCAATTACATTTGCACTGAATGGTGCCATTATATGACTGAAGACGATTATATTAGTGTGGCAAATTCTTCAGGTCCTCGTTAAAAAGCTGATAAAGCAAGCGAGAGCAGACATATGAACTTTGTGATGTATTGTTTTAATTTTTCTTCGTTTCCAAATCCCACTGCTATTAGGGTGAAGAGAAAGATAACTATTATTGTTATGATAATTCTTAGAGGATAATGGTGCATCTAACAGGCTCGTGTACTGTATAATGCATTAGGAAGTGTCGCATGTATTTTCTTTTTTGTTATTAAAGAGTAGGAGTAAATAATGATATATTAAAATCTGTGGTACACCTTTCGAAGCAGCAGGTGGCGGTAATGCGCCTTTAACGCCGTTAGTGAGGAGAAGAAGAAGAAGAAGAAGAAGAAGAAGAAGAAGAAGCAGAAGAAGAAGACCAGCGCTATCTCTGAGAAGACGATTTCAATGCTACAGAATATTTTCCATTTCTCTCATGTTTCTACACTCATTAAACTGTTTTAACTCCAAGTAACGTCAGAGAGAAAAACATTCAGACTCATTCCTCGGTAGGTGGCGGTATAACACGTACCGTTGTTTCCCAACTGCCAGAGAGGGGAGAAGAAGAAGCAACAGAGGAAGCATGGCTGCTGACATGAGATTACCAACTATTCAAAAACCAGTGTCTTTATCAGTTTCTGCTTTTGACCGAAAAGATCTGGTCGTCCCCGGCGATGTTATCACATCAGACACCGGCTTCATGAGGTAGGCATTCGGTTAGTGAACTGGTGGTGTTATCTGCTGCTGTGTATCGTGACCGCACCATACTGTCATGAAAGGAAATAAACTACAAGGCGTTTGATAATCTGGATTGGCATCATTAGGAGCATCATTATTATAATATGCTGGCTGCACTAGCTGGCAGTTACCTCCCTATAAAGGTTTAGTGTCAGCTATGCTGGTTGTAGTCTGATCATAATAATACTGGTTTAGCAGTTTACCAATTTATGAAAGATTCAATCCATTTAAATCATGCCTATGTTGTCTGTGATTACTGTGTGGTGGTCATAGATAACCAAGCATTTTCTTTAGCATGTTACTGTTTGGCTTTGTTTCTCATTATCATCTGTATATACTATTTATCCCCAGGGGTCATGGTACCTATGTTGATGAAGAAAAGCTGACGGCTTCAGTTGCTGGAGAGGTGCAGAGAGTAGACAAGCTGATCTGTGTCAGACCACTCAAGACCAGGTAAGTGAAACATTTACAGTCAAAAAGTCAATTGGGCCTAGTTGTACTGAGTTGATTCATGCATGTTTTAACTACTGTGGGTTTTGCAGAAGTTAAGTAATTACATTTTTGGGGTATGTTTTTGAATCGCAGGTTTAACGGTGAGGTTGGAGATGTGGTGGTTGGCAGAATCACAGAGGTAAGGCACAGCTGCCACGTATCTTCTTATATAGGATGTCTGTCTTCCCTAAAAATATAAGGTTGGAACATGCTGTTGTTATTTGGCTTTTAAGACATCTTATCATGTTTTTTTGTTTGTTATATGTATAGGTACAACAGAAACGGTGGAAGGTGGAGACCAACTCCCGGCTGGATTCTGTCCTCTTGTTGTCTTCTGTCAATCTGCCTGGTGGAGAGCTGGTGAGATACTAGGAAATGTGATTTACTGGGAGAAATATTCTGTGTATTACACTGTTAGCTGAACTAGCATTAACCTAAAGGATAGGGGAAATGGGTTTGGACAGGGAAGTTTGTCTTGTCAACTTTGATTTATTGCTTAAAATCTGTGTTTGATTTTCTCTTCTAGAGGAGACGGTCAGCAGAAGATGAGCTCACCATGAGAGAATACCTTCAGGAGGGCGATCTCATCAGTGTAACCCACATTTTATGACAGTATTTGATATTTAATTGGCTACACCATCTTATTATTCTCACTCATAATGCTCTTGTTGCTCTTTTCCTGTGCTTTTAGGCAGAGGTGCAGTCTGTGTTCGCAGATGGAGCCCTATCCCTGCACACCCGTAGTTTAAAGTATGGAAAAGTAAGTTAACAGTGCTAGTGTAAACAGTGACAAGTGCAGAGTACAGCTGTGATGCTACCACTAAATAATGCTTCAGTTTGCTTTATGACTCACTGTTTGTGGTTCAATCAAACAAATCAGAATGTAAACAAAAGGCGAGCACAAACTTGTGGGTGGACAGTGCTGTCACAGATGCGGCTTGCAAACTTTGGAACTCCCATAATATGCACATTTTGGGAATGTAGACACTTCTGTGTATCTCTCTTTTTCAACAATGTCACAAGTCTAACAAGCAATAGACAGATGAGTACAAATTCATTAAATAAAACAAACATCAAAGACACATTTCTATAAACAGGAAGTGATTCACTCAGCAGGTAGTTACACCTTTATTTGGAGATGATAATGAATGTTTAAATATGTTACATGAGTGCCAAATGGGTGACTACTTAGAGATCTTCCACTTGTCATTGCTGTCTCCTCTGTACTCTGGTGAGATTCATCAATTAAAGTAAAGAGGTCAAACAATTGTAAACGGTCAAATGAATACAGGGAGTTATGAAAATAAGACCTGTACAATTAAAGCAAGGCGTAAAGCAGTGTAATTAATCATTTCTATATCACAGACAGAATACCACAGTGATTTTGCACCTTGATATGTACTATGATTTTTGCATTACAAATTGTAGTTTTACTTTTTTTCCCCCCCTATTAATACTTTTCTTCTTCCTTATTTGATCTAATATCCTGTTTCTACTTTCTTGGACCATCAGTTGGGTCAAGGAGTGCTGGTACAGCTTTCTCCTTCTCTGATCAAGAGGCAGAAAACACATTTCCACAACCTGCCATGTGGTGCATCCATCATTCTCGGGAATAACGGCTTCGTGTGGTTGTATCCCACACCGGAACAACAGGAAGTGGAGGCTGGGGGCTTCTACACCAGCCTGGAGGTGGGAAAAGAAACACACAAAGATCATTATTTTGTAGTTTCACAAGTCATCATAGCAATGAATACAAACTTGGATTTAAATTAAGAAGTTAACAGTTTACCTGGTCCTGCGAGAGAAAGGAGACACTTCTTTTTTATGAATTTTAATCTACTGCATCCAAACTGTTTTTCCATGTATATATATTGAACTTGTTTGTGTCTTGTCTCTGTCCCTTCAGCCTGTTAGTCTGTCAGATCGAGAGGTGATTTCACGGTTGAGAAACTGCCTACTGGCTTTGGCTGCACACAAGGTCCTTTTGTATGACACCAGTGTTCTCTATTGCTACGAATCTTCAGTTCAACACCAGGTAGGAAGCAATCAGAAAAAAGTGAGAGACTCTAATGACAGTCACTTATTTCAGCTTTCAACATTACGTGATTGTTTCTGAATTGCACCCTCTGCCTCTTATTTTTAAAATGATGGCAATGAAAAGATAGTACAATAAAAAAGTGGACCTTTTCTGTGATGTATTGTGCCATCTGGTGGCCACATTGAGAACCTACTGCAACAATTGATTGCAGATCTCAACTTTGACTCTGTTGTTCTTAAGATGTGGTTGATTTCATTGCTCTTTTGGGCAGGGAACTGATGACTTATTCACAAATGCTTCTCGTAAATATTGCACTTATATAATATCAGTTTGTTAGCAAATATGCTATCACCATAATGTTGTTAACGCATCTGCACAGTTTTATGGGTTCATGGGGAGTCTCCTCTTAAGCTGCAACCCATAGTACACTGAAGAACACATAACTCCTAAAGACTGTTTTATATTTTTTCTCAGTAACAAAAAACAAAATTAAATATGCTTACCATTAATGCTAAGATCACTGAAGGAATTACTGCATTCAAAAACAGGAGAGTAATTGTGCAGTATGCATAATTTCTGCTGGTTTGTTTTTGTTAC